ACTTGTCGTCCTGGAGACGGTCTAGGCGGTGAACATAAACTCAACGCCAGGTACACAGCGAGTGCTCAGTGAACGCCAGGGCGCTGACCTGCGCGGCCCCTCCTCGAGGAGTGAAGGCGGGCCCGGAGGAGCAGGTGCTGTGCAGAGAAGGATACAGCCTTCCCACGAGACAGTGTCTCAGAGGCCACAAAATCCCAGGTCGAGCCGGCACCCCCACCTCCCTATTTTAGAGCAAGGTGTTTACTGGGGCTTCAAGCTCCCTGCACGCAATCTGCCTTTTCCCAAGCACACACTGAGAGCCCTTCCTGAACAGTTTACAAAGAGCTCGCGCTTCCCGCCATTCAGCTGGTCATCCAAATGCAAGCTCTCTCCCGGGGGAGCGGGCAGCCCGATTCTCCAGCTGGTTTTGATTCACACTAGAAACTTGAACTCCGTTCTAGGCCTCACAGAACGGAGGCTGTGTCCACACAAAGCTCTAACAACCGGCCGATTCACCGGAGCCGCTGCAATAAGCCAGTTCCCTGGGGGGGGGGGCTGTCTGGGGGGCTACACATCCACACCAACTGTCAACTGGCTCCTGGGTGCCCCACAGACCGAACAATGCGTGATTGACTTGCTCTGCTTTTCAATAGGCCGTCCTGTCATGCGGTGGCCACAGCGAGCGAAAGATGTTCTTTATCACGCGATGTCATCTTTGTTTTGTTTTTGTCAATTTTAAACACAAAAATCAAAACACATCAGACAGCAGGAGAGGTGGTCAGTAATGTGCGCCCTGTGAGTCTGTGGTCCAACGCACCACATTTAGAGACACGGGCTGGCCCCAAAGGCGCGCTCTGTGGAGCTGGGCTCCCCTGGCCTGTTCCCCGGCCCTCAGATAGGACGCGGCTGGTCCCGAGCTCATCTCTGCAAACGCGTGGCTCCTGGAGACAGAGACCATGTGCGGCAGCGGCAACTGCACACAAAGCGCCTATTCACAGAGCCAGGGAAGCGCAGGCTTCCCTCTCACTCAGCTGTGTGCGGAAGGCTCCCACCAGGAGGGCGGGGGGCAGAACAGTTCAGCTGGGCCGAGGCCCCGGGGGGTGGGGAGAGCCAGCCTCTCGGGCTGCACGTCCCTCAGTGAGAAGGAAAGCCATCCCCACCTGACGCCAGTTGTGCAGTAAAGCGCTCAGCCAGCCAGCGAGCCCGGGGCGCTGGGCAGCTGCGCCTTTTCCACGTGGCGCCGGTGCCCGAGCACAGCCTTTGTTCGTCAGGGCGGCTGCCACGGTTAAGTGCTGAGAAAGTCACACAGTAACACCGGGGGTTACAACTCACACGAAGGGGACACCGCAGGTCCCTCAAATCCTCAGCTAGACCAGACCGTTTTTCTCCCCTCCTTGAGTAAAAACCTTTGAAGGTTTTTATCCTCAAACCCTTCCTCAGCTCGAGTCATTCCTTCAGTCCCACGCATTCTTCCAGGTCTAGGTAACAAATAGCTACCACTTACCCAGCATGCAATGTGGTCAGTGGTTTCAGACATTCTCGCCTTTCACTTTCCACAACCTGACGGGGAAGGTGCTCCTACCATCCTCCCCCTCGTGCAGAAGAAGGGACACGGACATGTCAATCACGTGCCCAAAGGCCCAAAGAGGAAGCAGAGAAATTGGGATTTGACTCCCAGACACTTGATCCCTAATCAATACACACCACAGTGCTGGGAAGTAGGTGGTAGTTCAGTGACAGAATCCCTGCCTGCCTTCCATGTGGAAGACCTGAGTTCGATTCCCACCAGTGTGCCTCACGCACAGCTGCTGTCTGTCAGCAGAGGCCTGTGTGCTGCCAGGATGGGAACAGGTTTCAGCAGAGCCTAGACTAAGAGAAGGAAGAAAGGCCTGGCGACTTCTGAAAATCAGCCAGTGACAAAACCTTACGGATCACGATGGGGAAGGCACAAGGCCCTGGGTGTGCCTCATTCTGTCACACACGAAGTCGCCAGGGGTCAGCGGCCAACTCGACTGGCAGCTACTGACCACACAGTACCCTAACTGCCCCCAGCCAGGCTCCCCTCCGACCCCACGCAGCCCTCCCCAGGCCGACCACCTGTTTTCAGTAGCTCTGTAGGCCTGGCTGCCCTACCTCCCTGGGCACTGAAGTCTGGGCAAGCAGGGCCTAAGCCATTTCCCAAGGGTGTCTGGCATCCAGGACGACTCAGTGTCTTTTCTGTTACAAACTGAAATTGGAGTGCTTGGCCCTTCACTTCAAATAAATACTGTGTTGCTTTGTCATGCCAATAAAAACCAAGGGCCGGACCCCCCACGGAGGGCCAGCTTGGCACTCTCCACCCTGACCGTATTTTGCTTTTCCAGGAAAACAAGTGTCAGTCCGTGTTCCCCACATGGGGTCTGCTCCCGCAGCGGGACAACGGGCCTTGCTTATCTCTGCCTCACGGTGACAAAGCAGCCACAGTCCCCCACACAGCGCCGTTTCTCCAAAGCAGGAAAAGACAATTCCGCCTTCTACTCGCTCTTTCCAAGGACACTCTGAAAGGGACTCCTGGCACGCTGCTGCTCTTGGGCCAAAGGTATCTTTTCTTATTTGTCTTGAGGAGGTGTGGCCGGCGTACCTAAAGATAGCCCGGGAGGCGACCCCTTCTTACACGCTGACCCAGTGGGCTGGGCAAGGAAGTCCCAGGTGAGCACGTGCGCGTTACTGGCAGAGCACAGGGCTCGGAGCGGCTCCCAGGACCCCGAGGGCTCCCCTGAGCGCCCTGTGAGTCTTTAAAGCATGGCTCATTTGGGAACGTGTCTAAAAACACCCTTTGCAACAAGTCATAACTAAGAAGGCAGAAGTCAGAAAAGTGGCTTTAACTCACAGCGTGCAACCATGCCACCGCTCTAACTCCCACATGTGCAAGACCCCCCAACGTGAGGATGGCCTGCGCTGAGCCCCACCGTGCTGACAGCAGTCTTGGGGTGCAGGAGGAAGAGAACCCAGATGTCCACAACGTTTGGAGTCCAATCTGCCTAAGTAGGAAAGCTGGGGAACACACTGGGAGGGGGGTAAGGGCATACTGTGGCCTCCTGAACAGGGACTGTCTGCAATGGGTCTGCCCCCACCAATGTCTGCAGAACAGAATACAAAGGCAGATCAAGGAATCCACGTGGAGAAATAAGCCAAGAAGAGCTCAGCTGGAAAGGAAGGACGCTGAGGCCCTGTGACAGTCAGCAGGGAGGGAGAGGGGTGGGGCAGGAGAGCCGTGACCCCCTCACCCCTCCCTGCCCTGACACGGCACAGGTGAGAAGTCTGGATGCTCCCTCCTGTCACTGTTGCTTGGGGAGCACTTTGTCTGCAACCAGGGCCCATGAGGTGGCTCCACCGTCCTCGAGGGCATGGCGCCACGGCCAGCACCCCCAGTGACTCTAAACTAGCCCAGCTGCAGAATTGGCCCCCAGATTTTACTTAACAACAGAACTGGTAGTGCCCTGGACTCTAGAACCTTCTGAGTTGCTCTGTCTTCTAATAACCTAAGGAGCCCTGGTGGTGCAGTGCTTAAGCAGCTGGCTGCTAACCAAAATGTCTGCAGTTTGAATCCACCAGCAGCTCCTTGGGAGAAAGATGAAGCAGTCTGCTTCCATAAAGATGACAGCTTTGGAAGCCCCGTGGGGCAGTTCCACTCTGTCCTGTAGTTGGAATGGACTCCACAGCAGTGGGTGTGGTTCAGGCTTTGCTTCTGTGAAGACTGACAGCCTAGGAAATCCTGTGGTGCAGTTCCACTCTGTCCTCTAGGGGCGCTGTGAGTCAGAATCGACTCCACGGCAGTGGGTGTGGTTTGGGCTTTGCTTCTGTGAAGACTGACAGCCTTGGAGACCCTGTGGGGCAGTTCCACTCTGTCCTCTAGGGGCGCTGTGAGTCGGAATCCACTCCAGGTCAGTGGGAGATCTTCATGGAAGCAGATCACCAGGTCTCTCTCCCCCAGTGCGCCCAGGTGAGTTTGTGGTCAAGCGCTTAACTGCTATGCCACCAGGGCTGCATGCTTGGTGTGGGGGGATTACATAACATGTCTTATCACGATCGCCTTCTCTGAAGCGCAAGGAGGGTTCGTTCCTCCCACACTAAATGGGAGCTAAGTTGGGAAATACAGTTTCTAGGGGACGAAGTGCTGCTCACAGGCATGTGCCCTACAAAGTGCAATGCTCTGCCAGGAAGAAGACCCACTGTGGCCTCAACACGATCCCCGGGCTCTTGCGGACCTCAACAGCAGCCCACTTACAGGTAAAACCATGGGGATGCTCTCTCATTTCCTGACCTAGGACAGGCTTGCACCCTGAGGTGGGAAAGGTCTTACTCTTCTTTTCTGGGCTAGAAGCCCCTTCACTGATCTGTGCAAGCAAAACTCGCACCCAACTGTCCACATCTTCACGCAGATTACACACGTGTTACGCCAGAACCACTTTCCTTAATGTTGTTTCCACACGTTGTACGTGTGGGTGTGTTATTTATGTGGGTGCGTTACTTATGGGGAAAACACGGTAACAACGTGACAAGCTGCAGGCTTCCTTCATAAATCACATGACCCCCCTTCCTTATAAACCAAATGTGTGCTTCACAGCGGACAACGGTGGCTCCCAACGCTGGATTCCGGTGCGAAAGGGGAGGCAGGGTGGGCGAGCAATCCATCCCAGGCTTGCTTGGCTCCTCGTCAGGACACGTGGGGCCCTACCCTATCTGCTCTCTGGTAATTAACTATTATTTCTGGACAAAGGCAACTCAGACTACCTAAAGCCCCGACTAGGAGAGAGCCGCCAGCATAGCTGAGATGGTGCTAAAACCCTTTAACGCTCAACGTAGATGCACACACGTGTGCATAAGCGCACATGCACACACACTCGTGCGCACACACACAGCACCTCTTTCCCAGAGCAGGCTGTCCCCGAACATCATCATCACCGTCAATCACACAACTCTCATGGAGACGCCGGGCAGGTCACGCCTGTGAGGCCGCCGCACCCCTGACCGGGCCTTACCCTGGTGTTCCTCCTCAGACTGCGGAGAATGTTCCTCTTCCGTGGATCTTCGTCTGCCTCGTACGGAATGACAGCACTGTCCCCCTTGTAGCCCGGGGACGCCTGCTCCTCCTCCTTCTTCCGGACGGGCCCCAGCTCGTCATCACTGCCCACGCTGAAGCTGGTGCGGTAGCCGGCAAACCTCCCCAGGCGGCTGCATCTCGTCCTGTACAGCACCGGCTTGCTCACGACGGACACCCTGCGGCCACGCTCCAGGGAGCTGGTGTCCATCTCGCTATCAGAGCCGTTCCCGCTGCCGTTGGACTGGGCTTTGTTGATGTTCCGAATGGTGATGATTTTGCCCTGGGTGCTGTCGTGGGGCACGGAATAGATGTTCTCCTCCTCATTCCTCGGCCTGACCACTGCGTCCATGGGCTCGGCGTAATCGGAAGGATCAAAGCCATCTGGAGGTAGCCAGGTGCTAGAAGACACGGACTTCCTCTGCCCGTCTCTGTGACCTTGGTCTAAATAGGACAGATCCCCCTTTGTGAGCTCAAAATGGACAGGGGGCTTTGGTTTGACTGGCGGAGGTACTTTGTTGTTGAGTTTGCTCTCAAAGCTGCTCATGATGAAGGACAGCCCGTCGTTGCCCTCCAGCTCCATGGAGAGCTTGGAGTGGTCTTTGGACAGAGCGGGCAGTGATGTGTCTTCTCGGAAGAGGTTGTACGATGGTGGCTCGAGGTCCTCTTCGGAATCCTGCAGGTTTGAGTTGCAGAGAGGGGAGCCCGCCCGGGGCGAGTTGAACACCTCCTCCGTGGTGCTGCAGGCCTCGGCAGCGTTGTCGTACATGTGCGTAGCCTCAATGATGTTCTTTTTCTCCACCACGTCCTTAAAGAAGGGGTGGAAGAGCTCAAGTCTGTGCTGAGGCTGGCTACAGGGGATGCTTGTAAACCTTCCGTCGATCTCCTGGGCAATCTCCTCGCCCTCCGTCAGCTGCTCCCGACTCAAGTCGTTGTCCAGGACGTCAACGGCGCCGTCGGTGAGTGCCACGAGCTGAATGGGGATGATGTCCTGCACTTCACAGAGAAAGGCACGTAACATGGCCAAGGAGGCCTTACGTTTGGCAGAATAAAACACAATGTACCCATGAACCAAGCGGCTCTTTCTGATGCTGAACGAGGAATGGTAGGAAAGGACAGACAGTTCGATGCGCTTCTTGTGTAGGCCGATGGGCAGCTCAAGTAAAACCGAGTTGTTGCTCCCGCAGTGTGAAGACTTACAGGTCTGGGACTGCAAGACGGGGAGGAGGATGTCATCGGCGCTGAAAGGGTCTCCGCACATCAGACACATCACGATACGCAGGTCGACGTCAGCCAACTCCTTGATGCTGGCCGTGGAGCCGACCAGGTTCAAGTTACGCTTGGAGTCCAGCAGTCCTTTCAAAACCTGACTAATCTGCTTCTCGTTGATGTTGCGCCCGTAGCCGATGCCAGCAGAGGCAGGGTCGAGGAAGACACACTGGAGTTTGCTCGCGATCTGCTGGCCCTGCTGGATCAGGCTGTGCAGGGACTCTCCGCTGGTATCCCCTCTCTTGTTGACCAAAATGAGCGTCAGGGGAAGATGGACCAGGTGGTTATCTCGCCTGCCAAGCGTGGACTCCCGGCTCTTCTCTATACTCTCCACGACATAGGACAGGGATTCCTTTGAGTTATAGAGGCAGAGACAGCCGTGGGGCTGAAAGGTTGGTGTCTGGAAGGAGTTCACCGGCAGCCGGACGTTGCCCTCAATGGGCCTCAGGGAAAGCTCGTACATCTTACCGTCAATCACATACTTGTCGTCATTCGTACAAAGAGCTCGGATCTCGTTGGCCAACTCTCTGGCAAGGCCATCTTTGCCCAGGATAACCAAGTTGATCCTGTCGATGTTGGGGTCGGAGAGAGAGTTCTTCTGGTTCCGGTCTGAGGGCCGGATGAAGCGGGAACTGATGAGGTGCTCGATCCTCGCGTCCACGCAGGCCGGGCAGCTGGGGCACGTCTCCTTGGTGGGGTGGTACACGAAGTGGATGTGCTTCAGGACGAGGGCGTCGCGCTCGGCCTGCAGCTTCTGCAGCGCCTTGAAGCGCTGCTCCTCCCCCAGGGCGTCCTGGATGGCCCCCATCTTCTCCTTGCTGGGCTTCGCGTCCAGCTCCAGCTCGTAGAACAGCTCGGAGCACTCCAGCAGCAGCTCCTGGAACTCCTCCTTGGCCCTGTCTATGATCTGCTTTTGGTGTTTGCTATAGATATCCATGTACACGGCCTCCTCCAGCCACTGGTAGAAGTCTTCGTTCATGATGAAGCTGCGGGCCTCCTCCCAGGGCTTGCCTGGGGTGATGAAGGGGGAGGTCTCCAGGTTGTCTTTAAAGGCCCGTCTCATCTCGGCTCTCTTCCTCTCAGTCCTCAGCTTCTCCAGGTGGGTCTCGTACAGCTGCTCCGCGGGGACGGTGTCCATGACGTCAAAGGGAATCCGCTCGTTTTCCATGTTGTCGATGTGGCTGGTGGCGTCCCACGGCGTCTCCTCAAGCACGACGAACCACTTGAGGAACTCCGGCTTGGTTTCCAGGAGCTTCTTGGCTTTCACGCAGCTGAGGTGATCGATCTCCTCGAGGTTGGGGAGCAGAGCCTCAAAGGCCATGGGCAGGGCGGCCAGGTACAGCTTGCGCCGGCGCTCGATGTGCTCATGCTTCAGGCGGTGGATGAGCTGCAGGAACAGCTTCTTGGCCTTCTGGGTCCCTTCCAGGTAGACGTAGTCCTGGTACTCGGGCGAGGCCTGCATCTTGCGGCTGACGCTCAGCCAGGTCTCGTTGTGGCTCTTCACGATGCGACTCACCAGCCATTCGTACTTGTCCTTCGCCGTCGCGATCTGCTGACTCTGCTGCTTGAGGGCCTCAAAATAAGGGATGATTTTCGTCTTTCCCCGGCTTTTGTCGATAAGCTGCACTAAGGTGCTGAAAGCCAGGTCCACGTTCACGTTGGACCTGGCCGAGGTCTCCACGACCTGGAGGTTCTTTTTGCTTAAGGCGAAAGTGTGTGCATCTCGAATGTACCGCTCGACGCCCTCGTCACACTTGGTCAGGACCACCACTATGGGCTTTTTTGTTTTCGCAAGCTGATTGTAGAGGTTGGAGATGAACTTGAGCTGCTCGTCAAAGTTCCGATTCATGCCCCTGCTAACATCGATCCCGAGAAGGAAGCCATCCACCAGCAGCTTCCCGTCCGGCATCTGCTTCTGCTCAAAGTCCTGCTCCAGCCCCAGCTGGTCAGTGCAAAAGTACATGAGTTTCTCAGCAGATGCCAGCTTGGTCGCAGCAGCCCGCTTAATGTAGGGCTGCAGGGCCGTGCTGCGATGGGGCTGGAAAGTCTGGTCATCGATGAATTCTGTCTGCTCCACAACATGCATTCTACACTCCACGCAGTCCTCCAGGGAGCGGCTAACCTCTCCCCAGTAGAGGAAGTGGTCATTGTTGACCACTCGCCCGCCAAAGTCACTGGTGCTGAGCACCGAGGTGTGGTCCAGGTGGAACTCGTCGGCGCTGGGCCGCACGAAGCGGTTGCACAGGCAGGACTTGCCCACGCCACACTGGCCCTTCTCCTTCTCGGTCCCAGACAAGCCCACCACGCTGATGTTGTAGGTGGGGGTGCGGGCATCTTGCTTTCTGGCCATCATCATCGTCGACACATCCTGCCACAATCAGCCACTTCCGAGATCAGAGTCGTGTTTGCCAGCAGGCCTAGAGGCCTCCCAGCATCACCAGCACGGGCCGGCTGCCCAAGCAGCCACGGCCTCAGGTCCCATAGTGCTTGCACGCCAAACCAAGGTCAGTTGTCACTGTCTCTCATCGCCCAGCAGCCGCCATCTCTTCCTAGATGGGGGAAAGAAAGGAAACCAATCAGCCTCTTAATCTTAGAACCCAACTGGAATCACTGAACAATGACAAAAATCCATTCTTTAATCCTACAAATATTTCAGAAACATCAAACATGCCAGACTGTAGGTTGGGTAAAGATGTGACAGTGAATGACACCGTCACCTATGCACCCCCAGAGAGGTACAACCTAGTGGAGAAAGGCACCCATAGAAACAGCACGCTAAGCGATGTAACAACAGTGTGGGGGCTCCCACTGGCCAAACCTGGGACTGTATGCACTGAAAAGATTAAGTACAGTAACGGATTATAAAGGAGCCCTGGAGGCACGGTGGTTAAGTGCTCGGCTGCCAACCAAAGGTCAGCAGTTTGAACCCACCCCCGGCTCTGCTGGAGAACTATGTGTCAGTCTGTTTCCATAAAGATTACAGCCTTGGAAACCCTATGGGGCAGTTCTACTCTGTCATTTAGGGGCACCATGAGTTGGAATCAACCAATAAGCAACACTGCCATAATAAATTGAGAAGAGAACGAAGGTGTCAAGGATTTCATTTTACTCGGACCCACAATCAATGCCCGTGGAAGCAGCAGCAGTCACGAACTCCAACGATGTACTGCGCTGGGCAAATCTGCTCCAAAAGACCTCTTCAAAGTGTTGAAGAGCCAAGATGTCACTTGGAAGACTAGAGTGCATCTGACCCAAGCCACAGTATTTTCAGTAACCAGATGTGCATTTGAGAGCTGGACCACGAATAAGCCCGCAGAAAAACTGATGCACCTGACGTGTGGTGCTGATTGGACCACGGACTGCCCGGAGAATGAACAATCAGTTCATTGGAGGAAGTGCAGCCAGAATACCCCGTAGAAGTGAGAATGGCCAGACTTTGTCTCTCACACTTTGGTCATGTTGTCAGAAGGGACCAGTCCCTGGAAAAGGGCATCATGCCTGGGAAAGCAGAGGGCCAGCAAAAAAGGGGAAGGCCCTCAATGAGACGGACTGACACAGCGACTGTAACAGGCACAGCAAGGACTGTGAGGACGGGGCAGGACCAGGCAGTGTTTCATCCTGTGGTACACAGGGTCCGCCAGGAGTCGGCACCAACTCGACGGCACCTGACAAGAAGAATGTGAGGCAGAACCGGCTAACGGCAACAGGTTTTTACGGTAGAGCAGTCCTTTCACCTTTTTATTTTTGAAACTTTCTGTAAGTTCACAATTACTTCCAAATAAACTGCTAAGAATGTGGCTGAGGTGCTCTGTCAGAATAAGGCCCACACCTGCCCCATTCACATCTGTGTCCCCAGGCCACGGCTCAGTGCTTGACACAAATATTCACCGAATGAACGAATGAATGAACGGACAGGTGAGTGGCTCTTCGAGCACGTGTTCAAGGGCCCCCAGGTCAGCTTCGTGGATTTAGGCAAATCTCTGTGGAAGAAGTTCCATCCCAGATAAAACAGGAAGGACGTGTGCAGTGCATTTTAGGTGGAAGGAATGAAACACACAAAGACCTCCTCCTCCCCACCCACAAACACAACTCGTTTGGGGAAAGCATCTGGAACAATGTGCACGTGTGGGGAGGGGTCAGGTTAGATGGTGAGTAAGTGAGCAGAGACAGGAATAAAGCCACTCCGAGGACCTGCAGTCTTTCCTGAAGGTCACGGGGAACTAGAGAATGTGGCTGCCCAGTGGCACTTTTAAGGGACTACAGTCTGAAGAGCTGAAGTAATGAGACGCAACTGAGACGTGTCACAATGTCTTTAGTAACTTTCCAGCTGAGAAACTACAACCTGTGGCCTCCGGCTGCCACGTCACCAGTACCTCCTGGCTGAACCGTTCCCACCACACAGCCTCGCACCTACAGGCTCAACTGGGCAACCACTGAACCTGTGGCCAAGCTAACAGTCTCCCGAGACCGTCACCAAGAGCAGATTGAAAATAAACAAACAGCCATTTTCTTTTGGCTCATGTGCCCTGGAAGGATGCAGCACCCACCACTGTGAAGTGCTGCGAGTCCCTCTCCTCAGAAACGCCTCAGGACGCCACGTCACCCCCCGTGATTCTTCAGGGGGGACGGGGAGCAGGTGTGACAGCACGGCTGTCCTCTGTGAGGACAATCTCAGCAGGTCACAGCCTTGGTCAAACATCCACACCTCCCTCCGAGAACCCAAGAAGCCAAACCCGCATGGAAATAAAACCCGACGTGTACAAACTGACCCGTTTTTAAGAGGGGAGTCTCAGTGGCGGCCAGCAACGCCTCCAGGGAACCTACCCGCAGGCCCTAAAGCAGCCAATTCCAGACCTGGGCAGGATCGAGCAGACACCCGGGGAAAGGGAAAGAGTGACTGCCCCCGTCCTCCAGCCCCCCGGGAGACTGCTGCCACCAACAGGGCTGCCAGGCGGTCAGGAAGATCCACCATCTCCCCATCAGGCAGTGTGTTACTGTGACGCTGGAAGCTGCGTCACTGTTATTTTTTAAATACCTGCAGGTCCCCCCATGGTGAGCAGGTTTCAGCAGAACTTCCCGACTCAGACAGACCAGGGAGCGTGGCCTGGAGACCTGCTTCTGAGAACCAGCTACTGGAACCTTGCGGTTCACTGTCCCACTCGCTCCCACTGTCGTGCCATCAGGAGGGCGCCATTGCTGGAGGGGGACACAGCACTGGGGCAGGCCACCGAGGGCGCGGGAGACCTTCGGCGACACCAGCTGGCACAAGAGTTGACACGATGGACTCGGACATGCCAGTGATCGGGATGACGCAGGACTGGGTGACATTTTGCTCTGCTGGACATAAGCTCACCCTGAGTCAGGGTCAACTCCCCGGCAGCTATCGATCTGTTTGCCTGTGAAGATCTAAAGCAATTCACACACGCCCTCTGGTACACCAGAACAAGAAAGATCTGTGCAAATCCCAGTGCTGGTGCATGTTAGCATACGTGCGGAACTTTCTTTCAACCCACAGACAGACTTGGGTTCCACAGAGCCTCGAACAGGAACACTGAGGAAAGTCAGAAGTCCTGAGTTGTGGTAAATTACTGACCATGGCCCTTCTCGCCATGCTCTTGTAACTCCTACACAATGACTGAGTGCAATTATGCAAATAAGGTGCCTATGGCCCACCAAGAGGATTGGACAGCCTGCTAATAATGCAAATAAGGTCCATGAACTACA